CCTTTTCCAATTATGTAAAAAGTTTTCATTAAGTTTAATAAAGATAAGAGCATAGTCTCACCTTTAATATTAAAAAAAAAAAAAAATTTAAAAAAGCCATACAAATGTTAACATCTCTAAAAAATCTTTAATAGGCTAAAATTGGTTTACAAAACTCTGTCATATAATGTCAGGTCTTCATATTACATTTTAATTAAGTATCTTCAGAACTTTTTATATTTAATCAATTAAACATTATCAATTAATATATGGGGCATTAATAGAAACCAAGCAAATCAAAAAATTTTCAAAATTGAGATTTTATGCTTAACTAATATAAAAATTTGTAAAGAATATTTTTACTTAATAATAACCCTCTGATTAATTAATAAAAAATTAAGATATTTACATTTAGACAATTTGGTCAGAAATTAATCATCTGATCATAATAGATTGAAAATAGATTATCTAATCTTGATTAATTGAAATACTGTCATATTTGTATATGCTTTAAATAATTTCTTTAATAAGAAATCAATAAAGCTAAGCAAATTTGTCTAATAAATTTACATAGTTTCTACTAAACTATTTATGTTATACAGTGCTTTTCAATCAAGGCTACATGTGTAACTAAGTAGTTAAGATCATTAATCATTGTTTATTTGAGTTTGTATAACACAGCACAAAATTACATTATCTCAAAACTCTAATTTACCAATTTGCTTGGTTTTTATTGACACCCATATAGTGTATTATGCAGAAAAGTTTTGGAAACACTAATTATTCACCTTTTTCCTGCAGGGTATTATTGAGATATTAAACTCTAATCTGTTATTTAAAGATAGATTTAATATCTAGCAATTTAGTAATAATAAAATAAAATTAAATTTGTATATTAAAAAAAATTTTCTTATCAGCTTCAAAATTTGCAACTTTAATTAGTTAATTATGATTTTCCAAATTGAATTCAAAAAGTACTATACACATATGATTCAGTATTTGTTTGAATATACTTCTACTCAACTAGAGCTAGATATTAAACTTTATTTATTAAATTACTTGAAAGAAATATGCTATATACATCTGTACAATTAATGTATAAATAAACTAGTGATTTGTAGCATTAGCTGGTAGTTTTTCATCTGTATAAAGTAGGCCAGCTGTCGATGTGAGGTTTTATAAATAAACTAGTGATGTATAGCATTGACCAGTAGTTTTCTACTTGTATAACACAAGCTGGTCGTAATTATGAAGGATTCGCAAAAATGGCAAGATTTTACTATTAGGAGGGTAGGAAAAGTGTGAATATAACTAGCTTGCCAGAAAGCTGTAGTTAAGTATCTACAAGCTTGACTATATATTAGCATATATATCTGTTCTTCTTTGACAAATTTGATTATATTAGTGTCTTCGCCATATTGTCCCAAATCAGCAACTTATTAAATTTATACTTATCTTTCTCCCTTGTATATACCATTATTATTAGATTTTTATAAAATTATCAGTATATAGTGTATTAGCATTTAGGTTGTCTTTTCGATCTGTTGACCTTGCCATTAACTCGAACGATTAAATTCAAATTTACTTAATACAAATTATAACCAGATTTATAAAGGAGAATCCAGATAGTTCTAAAAAAAATAAGATCAAAGTTTTAATAGTATAATGTCTTCAAGAACACACAATAATGCCTTATATTTAAATATTATTATTATATGGGGTGAATTAGTATTCCTAATGAACCTGAGTTTAAAGTTTATGAACATGTTCAAAGTTTCAAATAAAGAAAAAAGCATATAATTGCAAATATAAAATTACTTATATTTTGTAATCTACTAGGTTAATTTTAACATTTTAACTACCATTTTGTTTTAAAACACTTCTCTACAACTTTACTTAGGTATTGAAAAGAGGTTTACTTAGTAAAGAAAAAGCTTTTCTTTAAGGATCTTCAAATTTAAAAATTTTCTACAGTCATACCTGAGTTATATCTCCACTGGGTTATATCCCAACCTGAGTTATATATCCATTTTTTAGCAGAATAAATTTCCTTTTTTTATATAGTGAGTTATATCTCCACCTTAGTTATATTACCAAAAATGCTCTGGAAAAAAGAGGTGATATAACTCAGGTATGACTGTATTATAATAAAATTTTTGAATTTTAACTAAAACATTTTTCTTTACTAAGTAAACCTTTTTTTCAACTTCTAATAAAGATTGTAGAGAAGTATCTTGCAATCAAAATAGTAGTTAAAATATTAAAATTAGCCTAGTAAATTATAAGATATAAGTATTTTTATCTTTGCAATTATATACTTTCTTTTTTATTTTTATTATAAATAAAGAAAAAGTATATAATTATAAAAATAAAAATACTTATATTTTACAATCTACTAGGCCAATTTTAATGTTTTAATCACTATTTTGATTTCAAGATACTCCTCACAACCTTTATTAGAAGTTGAAAAAAGGTTTACTTAAAAAAGAAAAATGTTTTAATTGAAATTCAAAAATTTTATTATAATAGAAAATTTTTAAATTTGGAGTTTCTCAAAAAAAAGTTTTTTAATGCCTAAATAAAGTTGTAAAGAAGTGTCTTGGAAACAGAATAGCAGTTAAAAGATTAAATTCAGCCTAATAGATTACAAGATATAAGTATTTTTATTTTTAATTATATGCTAAGTATGTTCATAAACTTTGAAAACAGATTTATTAGAAATTAGGGTGAGTTAATAGAAATTAAGTAAATTTTTTATAATAAAAAATTTTTATAACTTAAACAAAAATAACTTAATAAAAATTTTACCAAATTAATAAAAATCTTTTTAAATAATTTTTACAAACTTGTAAATTAAATTTTAAAAAAAAATTTATTAATTTTGTAAAGTATTTGTTAAGTTATTCTTGTTTAAAGTTTTAAAAAAGCTTATTTTAAGTTATTTTTGTTTAAAGTTTTAAAAAAGCTTATTAAAAAATATTTGCTTGATTTTATTGGCTCAACCTCATATATTATCATGGTCTAAGAAACTATAGACTACAAACTTATCAGACCAGTTTAGGGACTAATCCAGAACTTAGTTTTTGCTAAAATATAATATTCCTATTAGAGTACTGTTGTTACTATTGTAATATCTCTGTATCCAATATTGTATTATTTTCTTATATCCACTCCTGTTTTATATAGTTCACCACATTATAACTTAGTAATTAGGCTAAAAAATTCTGTTTGTTATAATGAATATCCACTATAGTATTATATAGTATAATAATAAAAATTTTAATTTGTTTCAGAGAATTACTCTGAAATAATAAGGTATCAGCTATAACGAAGTTCATTATAATAAGAGTAAACTGTAATTATTACTACTCTTACAATTATTATTTATACCTACCTCTGATTATCTCTCTATTGTTATACCTTTATTTCTATAGAGTTATTTACCAACATTAATATATATAAATATTTGCTTATATTAGTTACAAACTCATCTGATTTTAGCATATACTAATACAAAATTTTAATGTATTTTTTTAGACAACCAAATTAGGATTGCATTGGTCCCACCAAGGACCAGAGACTGTTAGAGATCGAAGGACTGATGCAAGAACTGGACCAGACTAGTCCTTGCATCAATTCTTATATTAATAAGTAATTTTTTTCTATATGCATTTTATTTTTTTTTACTCTCTTATATTGTTTATATAGTTGCTTGTAATAAATAATTATAAATTAGCACTGAGTAAAGATCTATAAGTTCGACAAAATCAAGATTGGGGTTTATATAAATACATAATCATCTATTTTTTAGATTCAAATTTTGTTAGAACGTAAATAACACTCAATATCTTTAAAAGCAGTACTGTAAAATAGAGATTTGAACCCAGAACTTAATAGTTTTATTAATTTTATTTTATTTTATTTTTTTATTTTATTTTTTAGTTATTACTTTTTTCTTTATATGTTAAACTTTAAAATAATACTAGTTGTTTAAATATTTATCCATTATTTGTTATTTATCTTGGCTGTGTATTATTTATTACTTGTTTTGTCTACCTTTTATCATACATTTTGTATATAGTTATTTGTAGCCTTTATTTCTTAATATGCTTATTATTAGTAATACAGAGACTATTTTAATTAGAATATCGACTTATTACACATATATAAAATTGTTTTAAATTTGGCAGTTTGCGAAAAGGTACAATAAATAAAAAAATGCTAATGTAAAATATGATGAGAATAAGTTGTTCTGAAATAAAATTTGTATGTATTAAATGTATAAAAAACCTTCCAATTCAAGTTTAATTTATTAAATAAATAAAAAAATTAAAACTAAAAATTATTTATATATAATTATATTTATTTTTTTATTTTGTGGTTTTATCAAATCATCTCTGCTTCATTAATTTGTATCTAAATATAAATTATAACTTTTAAACTTTACCTTTATCTTCCAAATTTGCTCTTATATTATTAAATCATAATCATTATCTAAACTATCTCAAAAATGAATACTGATCAATACAGAGATATTGATGAAGATCCTTCTGATATCAAAAATAAAACTAGTAATAGTGATTTAATATTGCATAATCAAAGCAAACAAGAATTACAAAGCACATCTTATAAATTAGACTTATCCAGAAATCACAATTCACCTGTGTAGCTATACTTCAAAAAGAGACAAAAGGTAAACTTGGCATACCTATTTGTAAAATATGCAAAAAGGAGTTTTCAAAAACGACTGCAACTTCAACATTAGCACATTATTTAAATATACACAATATAGTAGCATTAAAACAAGAGAAAAAGCTCTTAAATTCAAACTCTTATATAAAAATTAAACAACAAGAATGAACTAATTTGGTTGCAAGGTGAATAGTATATGATTTGCAGCTATTTAGCGTCATTAAAGAAAAAAAAATAGCAAGATATGATTTCAAAATTTGACTCATGATACCAATTTTCTAGTAGAAATACAATAAAGGTTTATATAATAGATTTGTTTCAAAACAAACAATATGAAGTTCGAGCAATATTGAATAGAATCTTTAGAAAAGTAGTATTTACCTCAGATATGTAGACAGTATTAAACGGCATGTTATTTTTAAGCCTCACAATATATTATGTTGATTCAAATTGAAAATTAAAAATTTTTTTCTTGATATTATTCCAATAAAAGAATGATATACAGGAATTAATATTAATAATACAATTATAAATACCTTAGAAAAGCATTTTATAACTGAAAAAACTTTGGCTCTAACTATAGATAATATATTATTCATTGTCTTATACAGTTCACCTCTAAAAGTAATACTTCAAGAATTTAATAATTCTGCTTTTTCTCACTATCAATATGCAGCCTATGTGTTAAACTTGGCAGTTTGTCATGAAGTCAATTTGATTGATGATTCATAGCTAAAGTGCAATCATTGATATCTTATATCAAAGTATTACAGCCCATGATCAATGATTTAAAAAAATTGTGTGATCTAAAGAGTATTAACTACTTAGCTCCTGAGCTAGATATCAAGACCAGATGGAATTCTATCTATTATATACAAAAAAATAATAAAAAATGAAACCCATTCTAAATATGCTTATAGCTGATGATGAAGTTCTTAATCAAAAGTGCCCAGACAAAGATAAATGCTTAGATATTAAAGTAAGTTTTAAAAAAAATATAAATAAATAAATAATGAAAATAAATAAATAAAAATAAATAGAATAACAATTTTATCAATTAAAAAATAAAGGATACACTAATTCTCTTAGAACCAATCGAATGTGCTACTTGGCTCCTTTTTGCCTCGAGTTATCTGATGCATTGTGATATTTAATTTATTTTTCTTGCTATTTAGAATCATTTATCTCAATACAAAGATAATAATGATTTTTCACAAAAACAGGTTGCAACTGCAATTTATAAAAAGTTAGATAGTTACTGGCTGATTTTAGATAAAAATTTGCAAATTTAGTATTGCTTGATTTAAGAACAAAATTAACAACATTTAAAAACATAGATGAAAAAACCAAAGCAATAAATATGATTTCAAAATCTTACTAGGTATTCTCCTAAAATGTCAAATTCAACTATAACATCTAGTGATTTATCAAATATACAAAGTTATTTTCATTATTTATATTTAACTGATTCTCAACAAGAGAATAATTTAAGCTCTCTATTGCCAACTATGAATTGCATATGAGATGAATTAGAACCATATTTAGCCTTACCATTGGAGAATGATATAGATCTGCTAGTATGGTGGCAAGAAAAACAACACACATATCCGAGATTGAGTTTAATTGCTAGAGATTATTTGTGTATCTAAGCAACAAGTGTTGCCTCAGAGCAAGCTTTCTCAATTGCTAAACAAATAATTACACCAGCAAGAAATAGGTTGGATGGTAAAGTAGCAAGGGTGGTATTATGTTTGAAGAGTTGAATTAAAGAAAAAATATATAATTAATTCATATGTTTTAGAGTACTGATTTCTAGTTGATCAATAGTTAAAAGTCACCAGTAAAGGAAAATAAAAATAAAATATTTCTTATCTTGTATTTCTATATAATAATTATAGTATAAATAAATCTGCATTCATTATATTTATTAGTATTAAGAAAATGTTAAATGCAAGATTTTGAAGCTTCGCTACTTATGAATTTTCTAGAGATCAGAAGTGTATTAAGAAATATTTGAACTTTACGTTTGCTGTCAACCCTTTTTTGAGCTTTAAATTTATTTTAAAATGAATTTGAAGGTTGGGTTAAATCTTAATTAGTATTGTAGTAAACTATTAAACAAGTGTTATATACTATTGTTAATATTAATATAAAAAATTTACCAACCACAGCTTGTGTTACAAAGAACTGTTCAAGGACTGAGGATGGGACTGGACTGGACCATAATTGGTCTCACTAAGGACCAGTGTTACAACTGGTGGGAGAGCTTAAATTAAGTGGTGTCAGTTTAGCTTCGATCATGAACAAGGTTTAGTAAATCTAACGATTACGGGTTCATAAGATCGTTCTATATGACCAAGAGACAAAATTGATTTATTACGTATTTGCTAATCATGAAATATTGATATGTAGTTTAATTTGAATAAAAAACTAACTTTGATGTTTTTGGTTAAAAAGGTTTCTCTTTATTATTTATTTCTTTAGGCACTTATACAAATAGAACTAAATATTTCAGAATTACACCTAAGCGTATCTGCAACCAACTATGCAAAATATCTACGAGTAATAATCTGTCTTTTATAAGTCTGAAACCCTTCTCTTTTTATAGTTTTAATTTTTCCCCAGGGGTTTTAGCCCTCAACACTTATTTTATCCCTGGCTAAGGGTTATTATTCTCACTAAGAGTAATTATCCCTCATTGAGGGTTATCAGCCACATGTTAATCCCCTTCTAAAATAAGAACTGCAAGGGAAAATATAATAATAATAAAAATAAATCAGAATATATATAAAAAATATTGATAATAATATATGACAAATAATAAAAAAAGAAATTTTTCGCATAACATTATCTCTCCCTTGAAGGATGAGCTCCTGCGAATCACTCAAAGCAATGCAGCAGTCAATTCTTCTTGTCTTTGCGCCTAAGCTACTGTTAACAACTGATCAGCGAAATCCTCGTTATAGATCTTGTTAAGGATAGTTATATTAATATGTTCTACCAGGTTCAGATACCCTTTTCTGCATGCCGTGAATAATTGATAAGCCCTTTTCGAGATTCTCTATACTGTCTTTCTCTTTTTCTTCGCAAAATGTGATTTGAATTTTTTTCAGAATACATTACTCTACTCTTTTTCAGCTATATTACTTCTCATTTTATAATAGGCTTCCAAAACTCGAGTATTCAACATTCTATGCGCATCCAGCCTGAGTATTTCTTGGCTAGAATTAGCTAACCTTTCATCCCAATCTGCCCTGGGAGTTTCAAAGGGAAGAATAGGGTCAGTTGGGTTTCTACAATTCAAGTCTTGTAGGTAAATGAACATGCTTTCATGAATTCTTTCGGCCAAAGATTTTCTTTCTGAAATGGAAATATATTTGAAAACTTCCTGAATTGAAGTTTGAAGAGTAACATGGTCTCGATCCATAATTACCAGTTCATCATGTTCTAAAGCAGTGGCCAACCTTTGAACCAGATTTCTAATAGCTTCAAGTCTTTGTTTTATTTCTTATTTGGTTCAATTGTCTTTTAATACATTAGTAAATATTTTTTTAATATTCTGATAAATGTCTTTTCTCAGATTCGAGATAGAATTTTTGACCCTTTTTTATAGTTTTTTTTATTTTTTTTATTTATTCATCTATTCATTGATGAGTTCCAGAAGGAAATAGTATGGCATCTTGGTTAACAAATAGTTTCAGCAAGTTACTATATACACTTTTTTCTAATACTTTGCCTTCCATTGTTCATAATTTATAAGTTCTATTTCCAAATATTTTATGAATCCAATAAGGCTCGAGCCATTTTGATTCTAGCTTCTCACCTTTTCTAGCATCAAGCTTAGCCCTATACCTCTATACCTTATTGCCAATGGAGTAACTATATAAGGTATTTCGACTATTATGATAATTCTTCTGTTTCTCTTGTAAACGTTTTATATTTCCTAATGTCATGGCTCATCCTTCTTTTAAATTATCTATTAGGGTCACTATTCTGTTAATTATAGTTAGCTGCACCTTCCCCTTATCTATTTCTTTAGTAGAATACGTAATTAAGTCTAATTCAACAAGTAGTCTAGCTTTCCTACCATAGACTAGATAAAAGGGTTCGTATTGCATAGTGTTATGGCGCACTGTACAATAAATAAATAGGGCTAATTGAATAAACTCATCCCAATCTTCTTCATATTGGATCATATATTTCATACAAGGTTCGATTAAACCTTTTGACTTGTCTGTTTGTCTGCAGATAGTAGGTTGATAACATCACGTGTTTAATCTCTAAGTCTCTACAAAGACCTTCTATTACCTTATTATTAAAATGCATGCCTTGATCCAAAATTACTTTCTTGGAGCACCTATGTCTCCCAATAATGTTATCTACTATAAAAGAAGCCACAGATTTAGCCTTACAATCAGGCAATGCTTACACTTCTGGCCATTTAGAAAAAAACTCTGTTGCCACAATCAAATATTTATTACCCTTCTTGGTCTTGAATAACAGACCAATAAAGTCAATTCCAACTTGATCAAATAACTGTGCTGGCCTTATAGGATGTAGAGGTTCATGTGAAATTGGTTTTTCTCTTTGTTGACAAACTTTACAGCTCTTCAAATAATCTTTTATATTTAAGATCATTTGATTCCAATAATACCTTTTAAAGATCTTTCGTATCGTAGCCTTTTCTCCTAAATATCCTTCAATAGCACTTCCATGTGTTGCTTCTAAAATAATTTCAACCTCTTTTTGTTGTACTACTCTCAAAGGGTTTTCTGGCTTTTTTTTATTTTTCTATATAATATACCTTCTCATACTATAAAATATCGGGCCTGAGCTTTGAGCTTACGAATTTTTGGTTGATCAAATTCAATGAGTATAATCAGACTAGTAAGATACTCTACCAAACATCGATAGTTTTCTTTTTCTTTTTTTTTTTTTTTTTTTAATATATATATTTATATGTCAGGACACCAGAACCTGGGCTGAATTCTGTTTCTCAGATTTTGCAAAATATAGGAAGTTTCTTTTTTCTTTTTTTTTTTCTTCAGTTGTTTGTCTTCTTTCTGAGCTTAATATTCAATTCTGGATAATCCATCTATGTAAGGATGTTGCTTACCCAGATGATGTTTAATTATGAAATTATATCCTTGTAATTTTATTATTAATTGAGCCATTCTACCTGTTAGGTTAGCCATATTGTTTAAATATACTAGTATAGAGTGATCTGTAACAATTGTGAACTTGGACCCATATAAATATATATGGAACTTTTTAAATGTCCATCCTATTGAGTGCATTTCAGCTCTGTGATAGTATAATTTTTCTTGGCTGGACTAGTAGATTTACTAGCATATTCAATAACACATTCTCTTTGGTCATCATCAACCTGCGCTAAAATGGCACTTAATGCCAAATGAGAAGCATCAGTATATAGAATGTATTCTTTCCTATCATCATAATATGCCAATACTGGAGCAGTGATTAACATTGTTTTCAATTTTTCGAAAGTGTCTTGTTGCTCAATGTCCCATTTATAAATTACTTTATTTTTTAACAGCTTATATAGAGGTGTGGCTATCTTGGCAAAATCTTTCATGAATCGTCTATAAAACCCGGCAAGGCCTAGGAATTCCTGTAATGCTCTCAAATTCTTAGGCGGTGGAAATTTCTTTACCGCTTTTACTTTCAGTTCTCCAGTAGTATTTCTTATTCAGATATTTTATACCCTAAAAAGGTTATTTTCCATTGACCAAAATAACACTTTTTCTTATTTAATTGCAGGTTTGCGGCTTTAATCCTTTGGAGTACTTCATCTATGTGAATTAGATAGTATTCGAATGTTGAGAAGAAAATAGTCACGTCATCAATATAAACTAGAGCAAATTTCCACAAAATGTCTTGCAAAACATGATCCATTAACTTTTGAAAGGTTGCCAGCGCGTTTGTGAGCCCGAAAGGCATCACGTTAAATTCATATAGACCAAATCACAACATAAATGCAGTTTTTTCCTTATCACATGGGTGCATTTCTATCTGCCAAAATCTACTTGCTAAATCCACTTGCTAAATCAAGAGTAGTATACTAGGCAAATTGTTTTAAAGTGCCTAGTAATTCATTAATCCTAGGAAGAGGGCTTTGTAACTTTATTCAACTTTCTAAAATCCACACAAAATCTCATTGATTTATCCTTTTTCTTTACCAAAACTATTGGTGAGGCCTATAAACTATATGACCGCTGAATAATACCAGTCTTTTCCATATAGTTTATTTCTTTTTTAATAAAATCGTGTTCGGGTTTAGAGGTAGAGTAAAATTTCTGTTTAACAGGATGTTCCTCTTCGGTAAATATTTCATGTCAAATTAGAGAAGTCTTTCCCAATTGTCCGAATTCCTCCATAAAAGTATCTCTATATCTTGTCAGCATCTTTCTCAATTGAATTTTTTGCTAATCCGTTATTACCCCCACATTAAAATCTTTATTTTCCTTTTCTTTGCTTAGATATAGTTTCGATTTCTATATTTTTATTAAAGATACATTCTTCAATATTATACTCTTCTTTTCCACATTTTTTACAACTATTAAGTCATTTTCAACTTCTTGGAATTTCCAGTAAAGATAAGTCTTATTTATTAAATTTTCTTCTTCATATATTTTATCTTTCTTGCTATTGTCAGTTTCCAATTCAGATTTCTCCTCTGACATATATTCTTCTTTTTCGATTCTCCTAGCATTTTTTTCTAAACTCTCTTTCCTTTTAACCCATTTGTTAATATTTGCAGGTTTACAATATTCTGTAGATATTTTTCTTTTTCTTTTTCTATCACAGATCATTAATTCACATTCTTCTCAATCTAATCTGGCTCTCACCTTCTTCATCTAATTATTACTGACAATTATAGCATAGTTTTCAGCATCGGTTACTACTGCATGAGAAGTAATAGTCTTACCTCTAATTATTATGGAAAATTCATCTATTTCATCTAAAGAACGTTTTTGATCTTCATGTACCCAATTATCACAACTGTCGAAGGCCGATCAATTGAGATATTTACATCTTTTAAGAAATTTGCTGATACAACACAACCTGAAGACCCACTGTCAAGAATTAAAAGGATTGGATAGTTTTTAACTAGTGCCTCACAGTACATCGAGGTAGTTTTTAAGTCTTTATCTTGCTTGAAACAAAACTCTACCATTTTAGTTGTAGCTATTCTTCCTGCTCTTGTAATCTTGGTCATTTCTTTCCAGATGTTAGAAGCAACTTGAAAAAGCTGAGCATAAGTAATGTTGGCTTTTTTATTCTATAAGTCAGTCATTATGAAATAGAGTTGAATATTTGACAGTATTAAAGGTTCCACAGATTTAGTATTTTTTTTTTTTGCAATTATCTTCTTTGCTAGTTTGTGTATGTGATCTTTCTTTTCTTCCTTATCTTTTTCCGATCCTTCTATTTCTTCTGCCTCTCTATTATTCTTCTTTCTTTTTTTAACAACATAAGCTTCAAACAACAGTTCCAACGAGGAAATTTCAGAATCTACGTACTCTCACCCTCTTGAGGTACGTTTTCTAGTTTAAAGACTCATTATCATTTAACAATTGGGACAGCATGGCTTGAGCACAGGTTGTATTCATGGTTGGTCTATTTTTATTTGTATTTTCTTCACCTTCCACGGCTCTTTACCTTTCCGTACTATTCATTTGTTGCTCGGAATTATTATCATTACTATTATTTCTTAATATAGAACATTTCGGAAGCGATATGTCCTGGTTGATGGCAGGCGAAACATGTGATTTGTGGGCGATTCCATCTAAATGGTCCATTATTCCTATTCCTATTTTGGTTTCCTCTTGGTTTATTATTATTTTTTAATGATATAACCACTTCCTCTATTAATAACATCAATTTCTTTATAGAGTTGTCGACAGCATTTGTGGTAGGCAGTTGGGTTGCTTCACTTATTGGTTGTTGAAGGTAAGAAGCCACAGGATTAATGAAAGAGGTCAAATTATGCATTGTTAAGCTTCTTAAAAGTGTCAATTCGCTAACTTTGGCCCTTTCTATTGCTGCTTAAAGAGTTGCTGGTATAAATAATCCTACTGTAAGTGCCAAATCAGGCTGTAATCCTTGTATAAAGATCTGTGCTTTCATTGCTTCAGGATAATAGTTACCGCCTACTGTTACTTGCCTAAATAAGGTACCATTTGGCCACAAATTGATCAACAGTCTCTTTTACCTTTTGCCATCTGGTAAGTAACTCAGTGCTCAATTGACTCATGAGTATTTGCATACAAAAATTCTAATAAAATTGGTACATGAAACTTATATCTGGCTGAAAGTCATCCTCCCAACTGTTTATATATGGTCTAACATTCCTTCTAGCTTCTACCACATAGCAGCTATTCCTGACAAATAAGTACCAATGACTGCTATACATCTGTCTCCCTGGATATTATTAGCTTCAAAAGCACATCCTATAGCTTCTAGCCATGCTACTGGATCTTGATTTCCTCTTGAAAAAGTAGAAATAGTTATTATATTAGTTTCACAAATTTGATTATTCTGAATTGCTTGAGAAAGAGCACCAGCTATTAACCAAAGCAATTGCTAAATTTGTAGTTGAAAATCGTTATCTTGGCCCTCCTGCTCAGGATTTCAATCATCAACATTAACATTGTAAAAAGGATCCATGCTAGATAAGTTACTCTGATTTTTCAGTAAATAGATCCTAAAATAAAAATTAGCATTTAAGGTAATTGAATTGTCTTGGTTATATTGTTTGAGATCCACACAATTAACACCAAATGTTATGACCGGTAGGAGAGCTTAAATTAAGTGGTGTCAGTTTAGCTTCGATTGTAAACAAGGATTAGTAAATCTAATGATTATGGGTTCATAAGATCGTTCCATGTGACCAAGAGACGAAATTAATTATTACATATTTGCTGATCACGAGATATCGATATGTAGCTTAATTTGAATAAAAAACTAACTTTGATGTTTTTGGTTAAAAAGGTTTCTCTTTATTATTTATTTCTTTAGGCACTTATACAAATAGAACTAAATATTTCAGAATTACACCCGAGCATATCTGCAACCAACCATGCAAAATATCTGCAAGTAATAATCTGTCTTTTACAAGTCTGAAATCCTTCTTTTTTTATAGTTTTAATTTTTCCCAGGGGTTTTAGCCCTCAACACTTATTTTATCCTTGGCTGAGAGTTATTGTTCTCGCCAAGGGTTATTATTCCTCATTGAGGGTTATTATCCCTTGTTGAGGGTTATCAGCTATATGTTAATTCCCTTCTAAAATAAGAACTACAAGAGAAAATATAATAATAATAAAAATAAAACAGAATATATATAAAAAATATTGATAATAATATACGATGAATAATAAAAAAAAAATTTTTCACATAACACCGGACCAGACCGGTGCATCCCTAGGTAGGGATGGGTTCGGTTGACTATGGTCGACTATCGGTTGACTACAATTGGTTATCGACTCTTAGCCAGTTAGCCAATCGGCTAAAGCAGCTAATAGCTGACTATAGCCGATCAATTATTTAATCAATTATTTAATAATAATCAATATAAATATACTCTAAGAGTATATAAACACACACTAAGAGTATATAAATTTACATACGGGCTGGTTGGATATAATAATATAATATGTTGATCTTTATCAAAACAATCTAATTCGGGTCAAATTTGCAGATCATTTGGATGGAAAATCCAGAGAAATGATCTGCAAATTAGACCAGAATTAGATTGTTTTGACAAAGATCAACACGTTATTTTTTAATAAACTTTCTGCTTGGTGTGACAAGTATTGATGTGACGAATGTGGGCGTGATGAATAAATAATGGCTTTGTTTATGTGTTATTTGTCATGCCACTATTCGTCACACATGTATTCGTCACATCAAAATGGAAAATTTTAAAGTGCCCATGATTATTATTTATATCAAAAATCTAGCATCGGCTACGGCTGTAGCCACCGGCTAAGCGACTAAGCTGTAACCGAACCCATCCCTATCCCTAGGCCAAACATTGTATATTTTTATATTTGTCTGTTATAGTTTCAACTTATTCTGCGAAGTGACATAGGTAGATTTAATAAACTCTATGATTTTGCTTAGCTAAGTCTTGGCACATCACTACTTATAACATATTTTGCCTCACTTTTTTTATTTTTTTATGCAAGAAAAAAAACAAACAAGCAAATGAAAACATCATTAACTTATTATAATTTAAATAATAATAAACGAATAAAATTAAATAATTTTACTTTATTAACAAGATGCATACGTACGTAAGTATTTTTTGTTTATAGTTTATACTGTTTATACCGTTCCAACCTAGCTTTCCAGTATCTTGCTCAATTTTTTTTTTTATTATATCAATATTATTATTTTATTTATTTCTTATTTTTGTATAGATTGTTTGTTGATGTAAAGAAGTAGTTGTATAGTGATTGATTTAGCTATTTGATTTGATATAGTATATTTTCGAATTGTATATATAATATCTAATGAAATAAGTCCAGATAGTGTAGAAAAGATTGAAGGTTTGTTAGAAAAGTTGTGTATTTGAAGGCTATTAAGATTAGAGATTTGGTTATGCAATTGACAAATTTGAGCTGAAGAAACTTGAAGTTTGTAAGAAGTTAGAATTGTTTGTATAGAATTTTAGATAAGATGATATAAGGTGTTTGGAGAAGGGCAAATTGTCCAGTGTAATGTAGTACTGGTTTGTTGACAATTGTGAAAGTATTTGGAAAAGAATAGTTTCTTTTATGTAAAATGTGAGGAACGAGAAGTTTGTCAGTAAGTAACTTAATTCTAAATGTTTTGAGTGCAGAAGATTGGAAACTATGAGCAAAGTTAAAAACTTTTTGGTTGTTGTTAAGATAAAGCCAAGTTGTGTCCCAGTTGATATACTGGGAGATTTGTATTCATGGTTGGAAACAGTTTTGGGAGGACCAGGTAGCAAAGAGTTTTGCATAGCATATTGTTCAAATGCTACAATGAGTAGAAAGTTCAAGAGGGTAACTGTCTACAAAAGGAATGTATGAGAGATTATAAATGTTACTAGACTTGAATATAAGATATGATATATTGAGGTGGTCACAAGCTAGTTGATCGGCTTTATTGTTAAATATATCATTCTAGTGTGCTTTAACTAGTATTCCTATCGAACCGAACCAGATCAAACTTTAATAAAGTTTGAGTTTGGTTTGAATTTTAAACCAAACTCGAACTCAAACTTTTTTTCAGCCTAAGTTCAGTTTGAGTTTGATTTACAAACTTTTTTTATAGTCTAGTTTGATTTGAAGTTTGGTTCAAAGTTTGCAAACTTGTTTGGGTTCAGTAGAATTACAGCTGTTTTTATTATTTCTGGGACACCTATAAAAAATTAGCTAAAAAAAATTTTCTGCTGATAATTTTTTCAGCATGATTGGTATATAAAATATATATTTTTGAATTTGTTCAATCTTAATTTACTGTAATATTGATATCTACATCATAAATTAAATATATTTTTGAATTCATTCAATTTTTATTTACTGTAATATTGATATAATATCTACGTCTAAATTACATTTTTGGTCCAATTTCAAAAATTACTATAATAAATATAATACGTGTAGTAGAACTTTGCAAAAAATATTGTATTTTGAACGATTCATAAGGCCACGCAAAGTTGATTTTTCGTTTTGCATTACATGGATTCAAAATTCGGGACGGACGGATTTTTTTTTTTAATCTGTTATAAATTAATAGTCTTATGTTGCATCTAAGGCCACACGAAGTTGATTTTACGCTTTGGATAACACGGAATCAGAAATTGGTGTGCTGGCAATCGGATTTTTCTATAGGTCTTATCGGACAATTCCGGAAACCTGATGTCTCCACCGGATGATACCGGAATAATTTATGGAAAAAAAATTAAATAGCAAAAATAGAATAATTGGAGCAATTGGAAATTAAAAAAAAAAAAATAAAATCTGAAAAATTGAAAAAATGGGACGGCGGGTAATGTAAAACGAAAATTTAACTTTGCGTGGCCTAATATGTCATTGAATTTTTCGATTAAACATAATCGTAATGTCGTATAACATAAATACTTTGATCGACAGACCACTATCCATTACTCTGTTTTCAGGCTAATTTGCATTTTTTCAGCAAATTATTAATCTAAGGGTACATGGTATCATAAGGAGACTAATCGCTTTGTTCGATAATCTTTGAAAAATGCTATTCCTTTTAGCACACGGCCTCTCTATCCTTTTATTTCTTCGCTCACTTTTTGGGATCCTTTGAAAGCGCATTCTTGTACGTACTGCCTCTAAATGCCCGACGTGCATAAATATTAATAATCTTCGGACTTTTGACGTACGTACGTACGTATTTGGATTGTGACATAACTGCAGAACTGCGCAAGCAATTTTGGGGCTAAAAACGTGAAAGTGATTGGATATCTACGAACCGGAAATTTGGCTTACTATTACAGAGTAACGGTAAGGGAAAGCGATGTCAATTAAAACACGTGGTGCAAATATTATTTAGTCACTTTTATTACAATATGAGAAAAAGTTGATGATTATCAAAATAAATTATAGGCTCGTGCAACAAATTAAATAATTAACCAATTAGTACCGGTACATATTCGTGTTACAACAAATCAAGTGATCTGAAATGAATTTCTTTGATCTTTCATATTATCGTTATTATTGTCTTTGTCGGTCTATTTTACTGACTATTACTATCTGGGTACTGTAGCGGATAATCCGGTTGCCGAATCTATCCCTAATTAAATATAGATCTACAATTCTAAATAAGTGTACCAATGATGAAGCAAGATCGCAAATAATAGAAAAAAAAACATAATTATTAATTTAAGTTAATTTAGTGTAACATCATAGTGTTTGAAATCTTTAAAAACCCAAAAATCTTTATAGAACTCATAATCACGCTTACACTTATTAGTCCCTAAAATGTCTTGGGTTCCTGCGTTTACCGATAAATTAGAACACCCGATTCCTATTGTTAATTTATTAAAGTCGAAGCAAGCAACTCCGTCTCCTCCTCCTAGACCTATTACCATTTCTATTGTTGGCGCAGGACAAAGGTGCGAATTTGTTTTTCGAAAAATAATAAAATATTGCAGTTGATCAATATATTAATTTTGTTCTTGGTGAAATTGTTTTCATATTTGCTTGTATAGAGGATCTGGCTACGCATATTACACCATACTTGAACCACAATGGGCAAAAGTAGTCGCTGTTGCTGAACCTGTAGATATTCGAAGAAATAAAATGGCCAAGGTTCTTAAAGATTTGATTTTTGTGATAAACCATTTTTTGGTAAAAAAAAAATAAAAATAAAAATTTACATTCCATTTTTATACATTTGACTTACTGTGCTTTTAGTTATATAATATTCCTGAAGAAAATGTATTTAAGGACTGGAAAGAAGTATGAACTTCATCGAACTCCTTATCTTTCGTAATATTATTAATAAGCTAATAAAATATATGCATTTACATATATGAGTGCCGCAAGAGAAAACCTGTCATCGGACTTTCAATTATATTTTGTGTACAGTTAGCCTATGAAAAATCTATTATTATGATAGATTTTCCATAGCCGGCTAACTGTACAAAAAATATAATTGAAAATCCGACGTCAGGTTTTCCCTTGGCGGCACTCAAATACCAAAATATTTAAAAGATGATTGAGCGTCCAAAATTAAGTGATGCAGTTGTAATTGCAACATTAGATGATCTTCACGTTGAACCAGCGGTTGCATTTGCAAATAAGAAATATAATATTTTGCTAGAAAAACCCATGGCTATAACAGTTGAAGGTTGTAAGAAGATTACCAAAGCTGTCACAGAAAATGAGGTATTATTGTATGATCATTATTTACAACTCGACGAAAATTCCCCTGCCTTGATTTGTCATTACTCCAAGTAAAAATAAAAATTTTACCAAATCAAATTCGTGAAACTTTTTTTATTTGAATTATATAATTCAAATAAAAAAATTTCATTGAATTTGATCAAATGGGTGTCGAAATATTGTTATTTTCTCTCAAAACTTCATTTTTGATAGGCGGTTTGATTTATTAGATTTTAGTGAAGATATCTCGACAACTACCTACTCTATTAGATGAAACCTTTTTATATGAATATTATGGACTCATAATTTAAATAAAAAGTTTTTACCGAATTTGATCAGGTGGTTGCCGAGATATCCCCACTCAAAGTTTTGAGGAAAATTTGGCGCAGCTTCTATTGTGATAGGGTTCTGATTTTTAAAACTTTGTGCGAAGATATCTCAACAACCACAATAAACTTTTTATTTATTTCACTAGGGTAATGACAAGCGTTGTGTAACCAAGAGAATTTTCGCTAAGCTGTGATTTATTTCGATCAAATAAATAATAATAATTTTATTTTTACTAGATTATTTTTGCAGTGGGTATGAGAATAAAGCTATATATAGAAATGGATTAGGTTTAAATAATAATTAAATCATTATTCAGGACATGTTTTAAGATATACACCACATAATATTATTATTAAGTCGATTATTGATTCCGGTTTTATTGGAAATGTTGTTAATATTCAACACATGGAACCTGTTGGATTTTGGCATTTTGCACACTCTGTAAATATTATGTTTAATACATTATGAACTTTATAACAATTTTACTTAACTAACAATATATTATTTTAAAATTTAGTATGTAAGAGGTAATTGGAGAAAAGAAGAAGAGTCTTGTTTTTCTTTAATGACAAAGGTTAATATAAATATTTTATAAAATATCATTATGAATAGATTAAATTATTAACTATATTACTATATTAAAGTGTTGTCACGATATAGGTATGTAGCATAAATAATTGACAATATACCTAAGGATGATAGTTATCTTGATTAAAGCTGCAAATAACATTTTTATGAGTATAAAGTAATATAATCGTCAATATCAGTCAGTATGATATTTTACTCTTATTATCTTCTTTACAAATCTGTAAAGAAATTTGATGATTTTGCTATTTAAGTTCTATTCTACAATTTTTCTGAAATGTATTTTGCTTAGTAAAACTTTTGGTTCTAGAAAAAATATGCTGATATTACTATTTATTATATTTATTATAATATTAACATATTACTTTATTCTTTAGATTTAATGTCTTATTGGAACAATTCTCCATGCGTGGTATATTTATATTAGCATATTAAATATTTTATATACCGTACACTGCCGTAAATAAGCACCTTTTTGATCATAATAAGGGTGCTTATTTATGGTAGTATTTGAAAAAAATTATAAAGGTCTTCCGGAAATAGGTTCGGTATTAAGTAAACTTACTTCTAATTCTATGTAAACTTTCTCTCAAACCATATGATCCCTATCAAAATCATCGTCCGCAATACAGTAGCCTCTTAAAGTTGAGAACATTTATCATCTAAAATTTTGTACAAACAAGCGGTTTCAAACTTTGAGAAGCCATCGCGGATGATTTACTGGACCTATTTTGATGATCTTACCACCATTGGAATCAACTTGGTCTAGAAAGTACATAGGTTTACTTAATAACGAATCCACTTCCTAAAGACTTTCATTTATTTTTATTTTGGAATATTTATTCTAAATCAAAAAATCTGTTTATAGGGGTTGCTTAGCGCATCCACAAAAATTGCCCTCCCGTGATTTTTAACCAATCAAATTTCAAGATCAGAGTATTGTAAACAATCGAAGCGAACCCGTTTTTTATTACAACAGAAAATAGCTCGAAATTTTAATTAAAAAACCGAATTCTGCGGCCCAATTAAAAATGATCTTCGTGAAATTTTACCAGTATAAACTTTATTGTCTAACCCTAACCCTAACTCAAACTACTCAGTAAAAATTGGGGGATCAATTTTTGTGGGTGCGCTACCTAAGATCTTATTCACAGGGGTGACTATTTACTGCAGTATACGGTAATAAATATTACTGCTGATGCTGAAATTGGATCTATTTTAATGTGATATTTTAAAATTCTTTAGAAAGGGTTTTCTAAAGTAATTTTAATATAGATTCAGTGCATCAACATTAGCCGTGACAATAACTAATACTGTATTTGTTGATTTTTTTTACTTTATAGAAACTTAGTTCATTCGGTAATTTGGTTTATTTTAATTCAAAAAATAAACCAAAAGAAGCTGGTGACGCAAAGTAAGGTTAATTTTACTTATAATATTAATTATCAATTTTTTTTAATATAAAATTTTTTCTTTAGAAATTGTTTAGAATGCAAAATTGAATCAACATGCTCTTATTCAGCAAAAAAAATTTATATTGACAATGGTTATAAAAAAGGAGTGGTATCTTGGCCCGTTAGTGTAGTTACTGATATTACTGGTTTGTATAATTTGATTATTACTTGTTTATAATTATTAAATATACCAAATCTAATAAAATGGTTAACAGATATTGAAAATTTAACTAATGCATTAAAAAATGGTCCTTATGGAAGATGTGTTTATGAATGTGACAATGATGTAGCAGATAATCAAGTATGTTAAAATTAATTTTCCTAAACATACATTTAAATTTTATTTTTATAATTAACATTATATTATATTCGCAATTAAAGGTAGTTGATTTAGAATTTGCTAATGGTTCAACAGCAAATATTACCATGATAGCATATTGAAACTATTTGCAAAAGAAAGGTATATATTAATTCTAAATTCTTAAAGTATTATATCAAAATTATTTTACCTTTTTTTTTTTAATTCTATAAAGACAAAGTAGGAAATTTAATTAAATTTGAAAACTATTTTTAAGTTATATTAATTTATATTATTTAAGAATTTTTGGTACGTTAGGAGAAATTGAAGGTGATGGAATTAATACTATTATGTATTACAATTTTTTGACACGAAAAAAAGAATTGCTAAAACCATCGGATATTCTGGGAGTTAAAGATTTAGATGGTCATGGTAAATATATTAATTTTCAATTATATTAATTATCCATTGTACTACTGGCATTTGGCACCAGCATAAAAATTTAATATATTAAAAAAAATTAAATAATTTTGAATCTATTTTCTAAATTTCATATTATGCCTTTTATAATTTGATTAGTAAAATAGCATAGTGTTAAACACCAGTGGTACAATATATAATAGCAAAATTTTATTGTATATTTACTAATATATTTATAATTTCTTTAATAGCAGGTGGTGATTTGTCTTTAATGAGAGCATTTATTTATTCTATTGGAGAGTCATTATTTGATTTGAAAGATACAGTATAAACAATCTTTATATAAAAACTGGTGCTCAACAAACATTTGGTAAGTTTTTATATAATATTACTCAAAATTTTATTAGAAGCCTGATATTATAATCCTGATAGTTTAAAAATTTAATAAAAAAGACATAGATCTTAGTGTGGTTTTTTTTAAAAAAATATATAGTATGCTTATAAATTTATAGATTATATTTCTAATAAGATTAATACTAAAAATTTAATTCTAATTCAAGATTTAATTTGGGTACAAATTTTAAAAATGTTTACAAAAGTTTTAAACAGTTAGATTTTGTATTGTTAGATATATTATAACTTTTAATTATTAAGATTAAATATCAGGTGTTTTGGGTTTATAAAAAACTTATTAATATAATGTGTTTAAATTTATCTTATCAAATAATTTTTAGATTCACATTTATTTGTATTTGCAGCAGAGCACTCAAGAAAAACTGGAAAAACAATTAAAATTGAAGATTTTAAAAAGATGTGGGAAATTAGCTAATATATTCATGAATTATTTTTTTAAAATTTATTATAGCATATTTAATTATTTATTAAATAATATCATATTATAGTCCACTCTTGTTACAATGTAGTGATTAAGCTGAAAAATTCTGTCCATTATAATGAAAATCCACTATAGCATTATATAGTATAATAATAATTTTAAATTGTTTAATATATTTGCTATAATAGAGTTTATTAAAGCTGCTTAATATGTAAGTATTGAGATAGTTTTTGTCTTGAATTATCATGAGACTAACATGTGACATCTCTGAGTATGTCTGGTCTAATTATTGATCAAGTGATCGATTAGTGATGTTAGGTAAGTATAAAGTAATCCTTATGTAAGATGAAGTAATGGTAAAGTTGAAATAATTAGTTAAATAAGTATAAGAATGTCAACACTAACGGAATTACTTACAAACCATTTGGCTCACAAAGCACAGATGAAAGAACAATGGCTTATCTTATAGTTCCTCTAAAAAATTCATCCGAACATTAGACTATCTATTTGAAATATCTGATGAGATTATTTAGCTTTCTTTAGTTAAATTACTATTTCATCCTTATTAAAGTGTATGTTCTTAATGAACATTAATTGAATCTCTATAATCAATATATTCCCTATACTTAGATTAAGAGGAAACACATGCAATCTGTTTCTGTTATCTCTTTTCATGCGTAACATGAAGTTCTTTTCTTTTCTTTTTTTTTTTTGTGCAGTCTCTATAATTAAATTTGAATTATCAAATTTCCTATATATTCATTAATTATATTTAAAGAAATCCAGATGACTAATTTATTACACAGTATCGGTACTGATAATAATTTTTCGTGTGCTAAATCTAACTTTAATAGGTATTAATATATGAAAACCAAAATCTGACTCTAGTGTAAAGCTTATTTTATAAATAAAAATTTTCTTTGTATTATGTAAATTTTCTTTTAGTTACACGAACTTAAGTGTTATGCTATGTAAAATAATAATGAAGATTTAATTGTATGTTATTAAAAGTTAAAGCAAAATACATATATACGCATTTGAAACTAAAAGTAAAATTCAAAAGCCTTCTCTTAAATAAAAAGAGTAAAAAAAAATACAAAATACTTGCATTTCTTTTTGTAATTTTTATTTTACAAAGTTAAAAAATTTAATATATAAAAAAATCAAGTAATTCAAGCCATTTAAGAATTGTCTAAATTGATCTTTTTGTCGATTAATATTTTAGTATATTCTCGTGAGTCGCCACATTGCCATTTTATCCAAAAGGAAATTGTTTATTCCAGCACTTTTATATAGTACTTGTACTTTACGTTACACCCGATATTAGATTTTGATTGACCAAAAATCACGGGAAGAAATAATTTAGAATCTGTACTCGAAAATCTCAATAACGATTTATCTAAGATCAATACTTCTTTTTTTTATTTTAGTTCTATGAATGAATAGAATTCAAATAAAAAATCTTTATCGATTTTTGATAAGTAGTTCTTGAAATATTATTGCTCTAAGTTTGAAAAAACTCCTCGGTCTTTTTTAATAATCGCCTAAATTTTTTTTAAACTCTGAGCAATGATACTTCAGTAGCTGCTTATCTAAACTCGAGGATAATTTTTTTTATCTCAATTCTATGAATCCATATAAATAAAATAAAAAAAAAACTATAAGAAAAGTGGACCGGGTTGTGGTGCGGGTTGGTTTCGGGAATGCACAAAATGGCACCGATTGTGTGGCCCGCACAGGCACGTTTTACGGAATGGCACAGACATTACGACAAGGGTGGCACGTTATATTGCGTCATACGGAACGGCACGCACAGATGATACGTATGTGTATGTTGGCTTGTTTCGCGGAGAGCGAAAGATCAATAAATTTTAATTTTTAAAAAAGTGTAATATCTCATAATGTCACCGACAACAAAAAAAATTCCTTACAAAATTTTACTTCATATGAGTTAGTTTGTTCATATTATATTGATTACCAATGTAAATTTTATATTATTCCATATCATTACCTGTACCAAATCCCGTGCTGATTCGACTAGTAAATTGTTGCATAACCCGAGCCATTTATGGCCCAATTGACACGGGCATACGGTCCCAGACCCATGCCTATCTGAAGCCAACCCGTACTGATCCGGTACATTTTTCTTATAGGGCAGTTACTCTAGTACGTTTAATTTCAAAAAAAATTTAGGCGGCTATCAAAACAGACTGCAACTAAGTTTTTCCAAACTTTGAGTGATGATATCTAATAAGGCGAGACCAATTTAATTCAGTGGCTTACGTTACATCCTACTCACAAAAAAAGAGGGGGGAGGGGCTGGCGGGAGTTTATTATAAATTTTTTCTCCGAAATGATCCGCGATATTATAAAAAATTTCCGAAATTTTCCGCGTATATAGTGAGGGGAAGGCGGGAGGGTCATAGACAGACATTCGTCTGATTGGCTGATGTAAATCAATTGCCGGGTAACTTATTTATACAGTTTAAAGTACTTTTT